AGGATGGTGAGACTTCAGCTTGTATACTTTGGGCATGTCATCAGGAAAGACCTATCTCTATAAAAGTACATCTGGGCTGGTAAAGTAGAGGGTTTGTGAAAACAAGGGAAGCCCTCAATGAGATAGCTTGACACAATAGCTACTATAATGGAATCAAACATACCAATGATGAAGAAGATGGTGCATGTGGTACAGTGAATTACTTAATATGGCTCTCCTAGCCATGGTCATTGTGACTCCCACCAGATGATCGGGTGGGACCATGCAAATAAGGTGTGTGGAACTCTAAGGTGGAGATTGGTCACTTTTGTCATTCTGCTAGGCTTACAATGAGCTTCTCAGAAGCAGAAGAAGAAGCTCTGGTGGCGTAGTGCCTAGGGCATTTGACTCCTAACCAGAAGGCTGACAGTTCAAACCCACCAGCCACTCCTTGGAAGGAAGATTGAGCAATCTACTTCTGTAAAGATACTGCCTCGGGAACCCAAGAAGGGGTTGCAGTGAGTCAAATCGACTCGACAGCAGTGAGTTTTGAGTTTTTAGAAGCAGAAGCATGGATCTCACTGCCATGAAGAGAGAAGAGCTGGAGGCAGAGTGGAGCACATCCTTGGACCTGAGACCCCTGCACTGGACCTTCTTGGCAGAGAGACGGCAGAGGTGACCGGCAGAGAGACGGCAGCAGCTGAACCAAGAGGCGCAAGGCAGAGTGGTAGGCTTTCCAGCCCACAGAGCGAGCAAGCTGAGTGCCTTTGGGAAGAAGCCTTGCTGGCAGAGAGGCGTGTACCTAACTAAGTGTGCTTAGCACTTAGCAGAGCTAAAAGAGCTTTGTAACACTTGCCGGAGCAGGGCAGAGGCCAAGGACCAGGGAGGTGTGCCTGAGGGTATAGCAGAGGGGAGACTGTCCTGATGGAAGGATTGTATTCTGAATACGGTCCTGAACCTGAATTGTAGCTAGCTGCTTCCCTAATAAACCCCATAATCATATTGTTTGAGTTCTGTGTGACCACAATGAAGTAGTGAGTGCTGCGGGAGGAACAGTTTGTGTCAGAAATGGTAAAAAGGCTGGAGGGTGGTGGCATATCTGGCCTCATAGGAATAAGCCTTAGGCTGCTGATGGTGATTCTGTCTCCCCCTTGTGAAGTTAGAGGAGGTCAGAAAATGCCACCCCCATGTCCTTTTTGCAGACAGGACTAGGCAAATTTTATTCTGTTATACATAAAGTCATTATGAGTCAGAGCTGATTTCACAACAACTAACCACAATACCACCTGTCCCAACTAGACTGGAGACACCTAGAAGACAAAAGTCAATAAAAATAAATGAATAAAAGTAAATCATTATAAATGTATAGTATGCATACTAATTATGTAAAATAAAATAATAATAACAAATGGAAAAGAAAACATCAAACTGACTTGCTTAGGAAGTAGACCCTTTCACAGTCAGGTATTGAGGAATTTAAAGAATAAAAAAATAAAACAAATTCAAGCTTGGCATTATTTATATACAGATTATATAAGATACTTAAAAGTGTTCAGGAAAAAGAAACCTCACCACTGTCAAGTCAGATCTGACTCATAACGACCCCTCCTTGGATTTCCGAGGCAGTATCTCTACAGAAGTAGATTGCCCAGTCTTCCTTCCAAGGAGTGGCTGGAGGGTTTGAACTGTCAGCCTTCTGGTTAGCAGTCAAGTGCCTTAGGCATTACACCACCAGAGCTCCTAAAATTGTTCAGAGGAATGGGAAATCAAGATTTCATTTTAGCAAAGGCCACTGCACAGAAAATTTAGTGTATTTACCATAAATTTCTTTCAAATTAAACAACTGATAAAAACCTACTTTTCAAATGGTGATGCTGTAAATGTTTTGAAATATGTTCATAAATATGTGGGCTGATCAGGAAGACCACATTGTCATTAAATTAAATGAGAAAAATCCAGAAAAATAGAAAACAAGGAAACTAATCACCCATGTCTCTATTACACAAACATAATCACAATTAATTTGAGAGGTCATTTATTTCCAATACTTTTAATTTTTTCTATTAAGGCACTTGACTGCTAACCAGAAGGCTGGCGGTTCAAACCCACCAGCCACTCCTTGGAAGGAAGGTTGGGCAATCCTACTTCCGTAGTGATACTGCCTCGGAAACCCAAGGAGGGGTCGCTATGAGTCGGGCCAACTCGACAGCACGTAACAACAACAACAGAGTTTAAAAAAAGATATATGGTAACAAAGTTTATGTGTGTGTGTGTATATGTGTATGTATCCATGAGAGCACCTGGGAGGTGCTTAGCTGGTAACCAAAAGGTTGTGAGTTGGAGTCTACCCAGAGGTGCCTCAGAAGAAAAACCTGGTAATCTACTGATAAGAAAAATCAGCCCTTGAAAACCCTATGGAACACTTTGGCTCAGGCTGTTGCCATGAGTCAGAGCCAACTCAGTGGAATATATCTATGTATATACACACATATGGAATATATCTATGTATATATACACATATATACTTGTAGAATTCTTCCTCTCGTGTGATTTGTACAATTTTCCATCTTGCTTTTTAAAAATAATTTATAACTATATTTATTGCAGTCACTTCATTGATTTGAAGGGCTTAAGTATGAACTATCTGGTGGATATAGAATAATTGACTTTATCATTCCTTGATAGAGGAAAATTTAGGTTTCCATGTTTTAGAGTTATAAATGAGGCTGGGTCAGATGTCTTTGTTTGATGATGCCTCCATATATGGGTTTGTGTCCTTAGAACTCTTTCCTAGAAATATCTCTTCTAGGTTAGTGAGTATCAGTATTTTTAGGCTCCTGATATGTACAAACACCCACATCTAATCTATCTTTATGATCCTCAGCTAATGCTTAAATTAACTCAGTGCCCCAAGTTACTCAGTGACTGTTTGGTGAGTGAATGAATGACTGAATCGTGACTTCATGCTTCCTTTTCCTCTAACTGGGGATTCCTAATGCAGTGCCTTCCATCTAAAGAAGGCTTGTGCCATGAACCCCACCATCATCACATCTGCTTCCCAACCCACATGAAAGCAGAGAAGTTTCAGCTCTGTGGGAAGAAAAGAGCTGCACAGAGAATTCATATATAGATCTGTGCTTATGAGAAGAACCCTGCTAAGAATAACTCTGGGTTGATACACCTCTATCTCCTCTCATTCACAAGGAAAACCGTTTCCTCACAAGAAACCAGAACAACTCACAAGTGGAAGGCTGAGACTTCTACCTCAGAGATGCTATTCTTGGATATCCTGAGTCCCTGTGGTCACTGGGGGCCCTGCATTGTGCAACAGTCAGTGTGACAATACCACTATGCTTAAAATTTTCCCCCTACACCCCCGATTTCCATTTCCCCATTAGCCAGGGCTGCCTATAAAGAGAAGTGAAGATGGCTTTGGACTCTAGAAGGAGCAGGCAGCAGTGAGTAACCAGTTCCAACTCTGCTTTGCTGACACTCGGACCCACACTCAGCATCATGAAGGTCCCCGTGGCTGCCCTTGCCATCCTCCTCTGCATCATGGCCCTCTGTGCCCAGGTCTTCTCTACACCAGGTGAGTCTGGCTATTGTGGTTGTCCCCACTTCCTGGCCACAGTCAGACCACATCAATCTTTACCTGTGGTCTGAGACCACCAAGAAAAAATAGAGAACTTCTTAAAGGGCTATGAAACATCTCAGTCTGCCTGTTCAAGACTTTTATTTTCATCATTATAAAGGGATCTTAGCTATCCTGGTCTCCAAATCTGAAGGTCAGGGTGGGGTAGGGCTGTAACAGTCTTGTTTTACAGGCAGCAAAATAGCAGACTAGATTAAAGAGTTCCTCAAGGAGAAGAATCTAGGTTTGGCTACTTGCTAGTGGTACTATTCATCCTCTAACTCACCCTAGGTTTCCCCAAGTGCTCTGGCCCATTGACCGTCTTATGAGAGCTGCCCAAGGTTTCTCTTTGGCTGCGGCGTTACCTCTTGACCCTGATAAAATTCCCTGAAGGGAGAAGAGACAAGAGAATGTTCTACTTGGATATCTATATCACATAAAGAGTCAAAATAAAGTCAAAAATTAAAAAGTCAATACGAAGATTCAAAGGAAAAGAAGAATATGGGCAGAAACGAAGAAAGAGGCAGGGACACTTCAGGGCAAAACGGCCCCAATGCCTCCAGTGACCTCATCCCCCAACCCCCACCCCTTAACGAGGTTGTCTTCCTCACCCTCTGGGGGTGAAGGGTGGTCAGGAGACACTGCCTTGCAATTCTTTCAAACTGTGACTCAGGCTCATTCTGTCTCTTCCTCCACAGTTGGTGCTGACACCCCGACGGCGTGCTGCTTCTCCTATGTCAATCGGCAGCTTCCGTACAAATTTGTAGCCAACTATTATGAAACCAACAGTCAATGCTCCAAGCCTGCAATCATGTAAGTGCCAGTCTTCCTCCTGTCCACTTCTGGGGAGACAAGGGAGAGTCTGGGGTGGGGAGCATCCCCAAGGGCATACGCAGACCAGAGGAGCTCACCTCTGGGAAGGCCCGCCTCTGGGAGTCTAGTGAATGTGCAGGACACAACCAGTCTCTGAGGTGAAGCCTAACCTGGCCAGGGGCTTAGAGTCAGGGAGCACTACCGCAGCCCAGAGGGAAGAGAGGGCAAGAAGGAGGTGGCAGCAGCAGCAGCCTCCGAGGAGCCCCCATGAGTCAGTGAGAGAAGCTTCTAGACTGAAATAGATGGATGATCCCTGAGAAAGTGGGCCGGCCCTTAGCTTCCCAGAAAGATAAGGATGAAGGGGCCACAGTGGACCCAAGATTCCCCTGCTGGATTCCTCAGTGTTAATCCTTCTACCTCTCTCCACAGCTTCCTAACCAAAAGAAACCGGGAGGTCTGTGCCAACCCCAGTGAGGCCTGGGTCCAGAAATACATCGCTGACCTGGAACTGAATGCCTGAGTGACAGGGAAGCTGCAAGGAACCCAGTGACCTCTGTGGCAGACTAGCAAGCAGAGTCTTGAACTTCAGAACAGCCCTGTAACCTCCACAGCTACCTCTCTATGGCTGGTTGCCAAACACCCACACTCTTAACTTTTAATTTATTTATACTATTTAATTTTTGTAATTTATTTTCACTATGGGACTGTGTGTGTGACTTTGTGCTCTGAGAGAATCCTCTCCCTTTTCATGCATCCATGCTTGGTGAGAATTGAGTGACTGTCATCAGCTTGTTCTAGGCAGGCGTTGTGCCAAAGCCACTAGACTGAGAAATAAGCATTGGGTCCACTGAATAATAAAGATGCTCTTTTAAAAAAAGTAAACCAGCATTGAGTTTGGTTTGTTTCTTCTGGCAAATCAGGGTCGTGGGTTAATGGGAATAATAGGCAAAACACAGGCCAATGTGGAATGGAGGGACACGTTAGGAGAGATCCAAGGAGGGGTCTTCCAGTTACATCCATGTTACACTGGAGACACGTTCCAGAACATTGAAAGAGGAAACTATTTTATATATCAAATCATAATCTGCATGCTCTACGAAAATTCACTATTTGAATGGATATCATCAAGAAGAGCATTCCATATTGCATATTTATGATAAATCAAGCTTTCTGAATAATAATTGCAAACATTTTTTAGGCTTACTCTAGTCTGAGTTCTTTATATTCATTGTCCATTTAATCCTCATAATGCAATAGTACAATATAAAAAATACTAAACCCACTGCCATTGATCAATTCCAACTCCTAGCAGCCCAATAAGTCAGAGTAGAACTGCCCCAGAGGGTTCTCTAGGCTGAAATTTTTACAGGAGCATATGTATTAAAAAAAAAAAAAAAAAAAAAAACCTGCCATCAAGTTGGATCCGACTCTTAGCAACCCCTCCTTGGGTTTCCAAGGTGGTATCACTATAGAAATAGATTGCTCAACCTTCTTTCCGACAGAAGCATATAGCCAGAGTCACTGGTGGGTTTGAACCACTGACTTTTGTTTAGGAGCCCAGCCCTTAACCATTGTCCCACTAGGGCTCCTTATGGGTACTATACAAAACCAAACCAAACTCACTGCCTTCGAGTTGATTCCAACTCATAGTGACCTCCATTGGGTTTCCAAGGCTGTAAATCTTTACAGAAGGAGACTGCCTCATCATTCTTCCATGGAGCAGCTCATGGGTTTGAACCACCAACTTTTTGGTTAGCAGCCAAGTGCCTTAAGCACTACACCACCAGAGCTCCTTACAGGTACTAGAGGTACTATTAATATTCCTATTCGACAGAAGAGTTTAACCAGAGCTCAGAGAGTTTAAGCAATTTGGCCAAGATCACACAGCCAAGTAAATGATACAATTGAGTTCCAAAGCTACAAACTACAGACTTCACTCTTAACCACAGCCTAACCCTCAGGATGTCTAGTAAATGTGCAGGACAAAAGGCACTTCAGAGTCCAAGACTTGACCGAGATCCTCTCTTGGCATCTGGTCGTCCCTAACTCTCCTCCTTAGGGAATGTTCTCCCTGGACACATGTGAGGGTAGGGCTGATTAACCAGCAAGCATGGTATGCACCTGCTTGCGCTGAGCAAGGTTCACGCAGGCTTAATTGTGCTGACTTGCTAATCCGTGGTGAACAGTTTCACATAGGTTGCCCCACATCTTTGAGATGGTGAAGGACAGGTGAAATTGTGCACTGCAGATTAGTGGGAAGGCACAATGGGATTTGGGCATACCTTGCTTATTGGATAATCTGGCCCTGGCAAGTGTGCACTGCAGAGCGTCCCTTACTTGGGGCTGCCTTCTTTCTGTCGGTGTGAGACAGGATACAGGGGTTTGCTATAGGTGTTGATAATCAACGGCTGTTTGGGGCCTGTCTTGTGGTTTCTTTGGCAATATAAGACCCTTGTAACTATTGTAGGCATCTGGTTGATTGGCTTCTGATCGATTGCACAGGGCAGATCACCAGAAGCAGAGCTTGTCAAGTCATACATTTTGCATATTAACTAGGTTGGGAATCTGTAGGAATCCCTGGATGGGGCAAATGGTTACCACACTCAGCCCTAACCAAAAGGTTGGTTCCAGTCCACCTTAGGGTGCCTTGGAAGAGAGACCTGTGATCTACTTCTGAATCATCAGCCACTCTGAAGACCCTGTGGAGCAGAGTTGTACTCTGATATACCCAGGGTCATCATAAGTCAGAATCAACTTGATGGCAACTGGTTCAGGAGCATGTACTTCACAGCACAAGCCTCAATACTGTACAAGCAAACTTCGTTTTATTGCACTTCACTATAATGCACTTTGCAGATACTGCCTTCAAGCTAGTCTATCAGCATCATTTTTCCAACAGCATTGTGCTCACTTCATGTCTCTGTGTCACATTTTGGTCATTTTCTTATTTCAAACTTTTTTATAATGCTATTCACACTTAGTAGACTATAGTATAGTGTAAACATAACTTTTATACGCACTGTTGTTGTTATGTGCTGTCAAGCTGGCCCGACTCATAGCACTGGGAAACCAAAAAATTCATGTGACTCACTTCATTGTGATACTCACTTTATTGTGGTCATCTGGAGCCAAACCCACAATATCTCCCAAGTACGCCTGTAGCTGCCTCTATCTCTCAGCCTTCTGCTGAGAAAACCCTACCTCCATCTTGTCCCCTGTTGGTATAAGAATAGTCTTGGGGGAAGAGGTGCTGATAATTAGATCCCTGATCCAAGGCCACATTCCCCTGACCCTTCACAAAGACCTTGATTGTCCACATTAAGGAAGAAAAAGAAATATTTCAAAGGAGGGGATGGAAGGGGGAGTTACAGCTGAAACTGGATGCAAGGTTTGTCTCCTGTAAATGTTTTACTTCCCTGTCTCTGCTGGCACTAACTCTGGCTTGGAATAGAAAGATGTGCATTTACAGCCTATTATGGGTTGGGTAATCTACTTCCATTGGAGCTCTGGTAGCATAGTGGCTAAGGCACTTGACTGCTAACCAAAAGGCTGGCGGTTCAAACCCACCAGCCACTCCCCGGAAGGAAGATGGGGCAATCTACTTCCGTAGTGATACTGCCTTGGAAACCCAAGGAGGGGTTGCTATGGGTCAGGTCTGACTCAATGGCACACAACAACAACAACAATCTACTTCCATAGTGATACCGCCTCGGAAACCCGAGGAGGGGTCACTATGAGTTGGGTCCAACTCGAGGGCATGTAACAACATAACAACATGGGTGGAATGGATTATGAGTGCTCCCCAAAAAGATAATATTGAAGTCCTAAACCCTGGTAACTGTGAATGTGACCTTATCTGGATCTAGGTCTTTGAAAATATTATTTGTTAACATGAGATCATAGTGCAGTAGAGTGGCTTGATTTCCGGTATGAATGGTACCCTTATAAAAATAGGAGAAGAGACAGAGGGAAGACAACCATGTGAAGATGGAGGCAGAGTGACGCCTCTGCAAGCCAAGGAGTGACCTGGATTGCCAAGAACCACCAGATGTTAGGAAGAGGCAAGAGCCTTAGAGATCGCATGGCCCTGCTGACACCTTGATTTGGGGCTTCTCACCTGCAGATCTGTGAGATGATAGATTCTGTTGTTTTAAGCAACTCAGTTTGTTATGGCAGCCTTGGGAAACAGACACCCAGCCCTTTGACACTGCAGGTTACTCAGCCCTCAATCAGCAGCTTTGTAGGCCTTTCTTAGCAAAACTAAATTTGTGCCCCTGCCAGTTTCAGATGAGCCCATTTTAACATACTCTACACTTTTCTCAAAGGACCTTACTGGTGGATGCAAGAACTAAACTTGTAAATTCTATACTCAGATTTTTTCTTCTGATCAAATTCTTGCATGGTAAAGTAGAAGGAGATTTGAATCATATCATTAATATCATATGCAAGTAAAATTTTGCTGAAGATAACTCAAAAACAATTGCAATAACACATCAACAGAGAAATCCCAGAAATTCAAGCAGATTCAGAAGAGAATGTGGAAAGAGGGATATCATTGATGATGTCAGATGGATCTTGGCTGAAAGCAAAGAATACCAGAAAGATGTTTCCCTGTGTTTTATTGACTATGCAAACGCATTCAACTGTGTGGATCATAACAAATTATGAACTAGGAGGCTGTCATTTGAATAGAACAAGGGGTTACTGCGTGGTTTAAAATCAGGAAAGGTGTGTGTCATGGTTATGTCCTTTCATCATACTTATTCAATCTGTACGCTGAGCAAATAATCCAAGAAGCTGGACTATATGAAGAAGA